ACGATTTAAAGTTTTTGTCACCACGCCGTATACATGAAAATGATGGTAGTTGATCTTTGTAGGGGTTTGTTTAAGCAAAATTATGTGGGGCATCGAGTCGCTAATGTGAACGAGTGTCGCTCGCAGTGGTATCAATTAGCGCAATATCCATTGGGAATAATTGAACTATAGGACTTATAAACAATTTCAGATAAACAGATTTTTAAATGATAATAGTACCCATGGATGTTTTATGATAACAGTAGGCAACCAACAAGATCATGAATGACTCTACATTTATTACGAGCAGCAAATTGTGAAATCTCGGATGTCATCTTCAAGTACGAGCAAGCTCTTTGTCTTCAGAAATTGTGTAGAGTCTATCCGCATGCGAAACTTGAATTGGCGGCTCCATCAAAGCAGTCGTCATGACTACTTCATTGCTGGGTGATGACGACGATGTGTCTGATACAGGAACGTTATAATTGCAGATACTTCTAAATGCTAGTAGCTTTCCAATCGGAAAAGTCAACGCCTAAGTTGCCAATACATAGGAACGACTTGATCGCCTCCAGCACACCGCACTGCGAATTTACGCAGCAGCGCACCTGGCGCTTTGACGCTTTGCGATAGGTTGTAAGAAGGAATTCGACAAAGGACCGCAGCTCAACTTGTCGCGCATTCGCGGTATTGATATCATCATTTTGACACAAATGAAGCTTCATTCTACGTCGCGGGAATTTGAGTGAGGGGAGGTGCTGTGCGATCTGTAAACACGCCCCGTTGCGACACACAACTTTACTTCCCTTCTCATCTGTCCCAGTTGCAGCTTTACTGTTTAGCAACAATTGCTTGCGCAAGTCGCGAAATTGCGAAAAGCGCTTATGTAGTACAAATTGCTCTTTTCCAGTATCAACATGCAGTTTAAACTCGCAGTGTCTGGCAATGCGATTTATCCCCACAAAGCGGACGCTAGTTTCGATTACCTCGTGCCCAGGAATAAGGCCAAAGCTCGATCGGTGCAAAGAGCTATTGTATTGCGATGGTAATATTGCAGTTGGCAGGGAATTGCGACTGCACAGCGAATTTGACAACGAAGCTTCTTGGACTGTCAGGCGATGGTACACGTAGAAATCGTCGATTTGTTGCTCACAGAGCTGGTGAGAATTCATGGTGAGAGCAGCCATAGTATCTGGACGAGTTTTGGTCTGTTGATCTATTATGCAAATGGGATTCTGT